CACAGACAAGGGTAAGGGATCCGGAGGGGGACTCGTGCGTCACAGACAAGGGTAAGGGAGGGGGACTCGTGCGTCACAGACAAGGGTAAGGGATCCGGAGGGGGACTCGTGCGTCACAGACAAGGGTAAGGGAGGGGGACTCGTGCGTCACAGACAAGGGTAAGGGATCCGGAGGGGGACTCGTGCGTCACAGACAAGGGTAAGGGAGGGGGACTCGTGCGTCACAGACAAGGGTAAGGGAGGGGACTCGTGCGTCACAGACAAGGGTAAGGGAGGGGGACTCGTGTGTCACAGACAAGGGTAAGGGAGGGGACTCGTGCGTCACAGACAAGGGTAAGGGATCCGGAGGGGGACTCGTGCGTCACAGACAAGGGTAAGGGAGGGGGACTCGTGCGTCACAGACAAGGGTAAGGGAGCCGACTCGTGCGTCACAGACAAGGGTAAGGGAGGGGGACTCGTGCGTCACAGACAAGGGTAAGGGATCCGGAGGGGGACTCGTGCGTCACAGACAAGGGTAAGGGAGGGGGACTCGTGCGTCACAGACAAGGGTAAGGGAGCCGGACTCGTGCGTCACAGACAAGGGTAAGGGATCCGGAGGGGGACTCGTGCGTCACAGACAAGGGTAAGGGAGGGGGACTCGTGCGTCACAGACAAGGGTAAGGGAGCCGGACTCGTGCGTCACAGACAAGGGTAAGGGATCCGGAGGGGGACTCGTGCGTCACAGACAAGGGTAAGGGAGGGGGACTCGTGCGTCACAGACAAGGGTAAGGGAGGGGACTCGTGCGTCACAGACAAGGGTAAGGGAGGGGGACTCGTGTGTCACAGACAAGGGTAAGGGAGGGGACTCGTGCGTCACAGACAAGGGTAAGGGAGGGGGACTCGTGCGTCACAGACAAGGGTAAGGGAGGGGACTCGTGCGTCACAGACAAGGGTAAGGGAGGGGGACTCGTGCGTCACAGACAAGGGTAAGGGAGGGGACTCGTGCGTCACAGACAAGGGTAAGGGAGGGGGACTCGTGCGTCACAGACAAGGGTAAGGGAGGGGACTCGTGCGTCACAGACAAGGGTAAGGGAGGGGGACTCGTGCGTCACAGACAAGGGTAAGGGAGGGGACTCGTGCGTCACAGACAAGGGTAAGGGAGGGGGACTCGTGCGTCACAGACAAGGGTAAGGGAGGGGACTCGTGCGTCACAGACAAGGGTAAGGGAGGGGGACTCGTGCGTCACAGACAAGGGTAAGGGAGGGGACTCGTGCGTCACAGACAAGGGTAAGGGAGGGGGACTCGTGTGTCACAGACAAGGGTAAGGGAGGGGACTCGTGCGTCACAGACAAGGGTAAGGGATCCGGAGGGGGACTCGTGCGTCACAGACAAGGGTAAGGGAGGGGGACTCGTGCGTCACAGACAAGGGTAAGGGATCCGGAGGGGGACTCGTGCGTCACAGACAAGGGTAAGGGAGGGGGACTCGTGCGTCACAGACAAGGGTAAGGGAGCCGGACTCGTGCGTCACAGACAATGGTAAGGGAGGGGACTCGTGCGTCACAGACAAGGGTAAGGGTGGGGGGACTCGTGCGTCACAGACAAGGGTAAGGGA